AACTATGCGACACATGTGAAGATAATTGAAAAAGTGCGAAAATAGTATGCGATAGAAATGTGAAGATAATTTATAAAGAGGTAGAATACGTGGCACCTCTTTGTTTAACGAAATGAATGTGATAATTTGTTTAACGAAATGTGCGCGTTAAAATGTACGAAACCCCCTTGTATTTAAGTAACTGATGCACGATTCTCCAATTCCGTCCAACTGAACGGCGCGCGTAATGCACCTTCTCGCTCTAGCTGCGAAAAGTGTTCGTATAACTTTTTTTTTTATTTTATAGAATTACTATATTTATACCCTCCTAAATTTATTGCAAAAGCTAAAATTATATAAGGTGTGAGTGTGGTAAATAGGATTTGAACCTTGGTTGCAAAGAATGAACACACCCACTAGGCTAAATGGATAGGTATGTAATTATTGAACATAAATATATTTATATATCATACGGAAATGAATTAAATAAAATAAAATAAAAATAAAGTAAATAAAATAAAATGAAAGTATAATAGGTAATTTTAATACTATAATAATAATAATAATAATAATAATAATAATAACAATAATAATTTGCAATAAATTAAATTAACATAAAACAATAATTTAGGAATTCTTAAGGTGTCTGTGAGGGCAAAAGTGGTAAGGGAAGGTGAGCTGAGTTGTGAGTTTACTACTGTGTTTAACTCGGAACTTGTGCTAGACAATGTTGTATCTAGGAATTTCCATGGAGATTCAGTGGAGGCTGGCTAATAGCAGTTAGATGGACTTTGGAGTCTTCGGTAGAGCTTCATTGGGACGGATTGGAAATTGGTCTTGGTTGCAAGAAACTGGTGATGCTGCTGAATAAAGGGTTGCAAGATGAGAATGCTTGGGATTGCAGATCTCATAAATCACTTGCAATAAAAAATTAACTCTGTTTTTCAACCTTAAAGGAAGTTCTTTTTGGAAACACAAATCTACCGTTTTACCCATGCCCCGCCATACTGAAGCAAATTCAACAGCAATATACCTAAGGCTATGTTTGGTAGACAAATAAGTTAGCTTATAGCTTATTTAGTTAGCTTATAAGCTCCCTGTATTTAAATAAGTCTCGTTTGGTAAGACGAGCTTTTTTAAAAAGTTTGAGCTTATTTGATAAGCTTCTTTAGGTAGCTTTTCAAATAAGCTAGTTGAATTTTTTATTCCAGCTAGCTTATCAGCTAATTTTACCAAACACTTTTATCATATAAACTAGCTTTTCAGCTATAAGTCATAATCAAGCTATAAGCTAAAAAATTACTAATAAACTATCAGCTAGTTTTACCAAACATAACCTAAATTAAATTAAATTAAAAGAAACAAAAGCCAATGAACTAAGAGAAAATGAAGTGAGAAAAAACAAAGCACAAACCTGAAGTAAGATAACATGATGCCTTTAATATCATCTCCAAGCACATTAAATAAAAAAGAACATGAAAACTTTCAGGTATTAACTTTATGTTACTGCAAAACTTTATTCTTTAGAAATTGTTGATACCTGAAAGAAAGTGACCTCTCAGATTACCTGTACAAATGTAGACCAGAAGGAGATGACTAAATATTATAACAGAAACGGAGGATCAACAGTAAAAGAGTTGCTAGAATTCTTTCTAAACAGAAATATATATACATTTACTCGAAATTCAGTCACAAATTCTTTCTCTTTCAACAACACAAGTACAAATTACATTCTTCACTGTTATATATATTCAACTATCAGAGTAAATTAAGTACCTAATTGAAATTTATTTTATTCAGTTCCCACCCGTAATTAATTTCTTGCATCCTGAAAACCAATGGTATTTAAAAGATTGGTATAACAAAATTATATGAAGAGTCAGAACTAATGTTTTTTCACATGGTATTGGAAAAGGTCTAAATAAAATTGATAAGTAGAAAAGGGAAAATAGTTGTATACATGTGAAGTATGCTCTATTATACAGTATACTAGACGAGAATTACCAATGAAAATTTTACTACATCAGACTTCTTAACCAAGCATAAACCAGTTAAGAATTAGAAAAGTTCCAGATATAACTCAATTTACTATTAAATGGATACAAAATCTTACAGCCAAGATAAGTACTTATTCCAGTTAGTAAAAAAATAGAAATGAGAATTCTCATCAGAAATTCATAAAAGCCTTTAAGAATCTTATAGTATTAATAAATAAAATATTTAACATATATAAATTTTAGCTCTCATTGTTTATTTAGCGTCCCTCTTGAAAATCAATTGCTCAAATAAAGTAATAATAATTAAAATATGATGACATATATTAGTTAATTATTGATTGAAAAGTTCAAATATTTTAAGTGTTAATATTTATAATATTACTCACCTTGATATTAACCACCTAATGGTCAGGTGAATATTCGTTAATTTTATTGACTTTATGACCAGTATTGAAAAAAACAAACAAACAAACAAATAAATGACGACTTTTGTTTGATCAAAATTTCAATTCAATAAGACTAAGGTGCGATTTCTATTCGAATTCTAAATTCAATAGTTTATTTTTCTAAATAGTGAAGTAGTTAAATGAATTGTTCTACTTTTCTAGTTTGTTAGATTATGTATATATTTCATCATGTGCATGATTTCGTAAATTTTAGGTTTCTTCTCTTAATTAAAGTTAAATATATATCATCGAAATTATTTATTATATACAAGTTACCCTTCAACTAAATTGTCTCTTTTTACCAAGATTTATCTTTGTTTTTTTTTATTGGAAATAGTTATTATCTTGTTTTTGCAGGATCAAGTTTCTTTAAAAACATTTATATATTAGAATTATTAAAGGTAATTACGATTTTACCATTAAATTATATTAAATATAAAGACATTTTTTCAAAAAGAAAAAACAAAAAAAAAAGAAAAGAACAATTCTATATCATTTCAAAACTTTTTTATTTGGGTTGATGTTGGTTGATATTTGGGAGATATGGAAGAAAACAACTTTGGAGATATGTGGAAGAAAGTAAACTAGTGAGGAATAATGGAGCGAGAATATTGTGGTTGATTTTTAGGAGATTGAATGTTTTGTTCGTGTATATGTATTTAATTAATTAAATATTAGTTATTAACTAAAATATAAGGTAGAACGAGTATTAGTGTATTACTAATTTTCCATTAAAAATATATCAAAATAAGAATTTTTTAGACAGTTATTTTTTTACATAATGACCCGTCCTTTTAGAGATATAAATTAAGTCAAAAATTAAAAATAATCAAAATTTTCAGAAGTATAATTTACAATCAATATTCAAAAATGAAATAATAATTTACAATCAATATTCAAAAATGAAGTACGATGGAAATTATGTGTGCACATCATCTTGTGCAGTGTTTTTTCTTTTTTCCTGTATCGGCCTGACGGGTCGACCCAGAGCTGGAACCGATCCAGGTGAGTCCTTTGGATCGGGTAACAAGGGACCCAGTCAAAACACGGTCGACCCTTGTATTGACTCTGTTCGGTTAACTCAGTTTGACCCGACCATTATATTTTTTTGTATATTTTTACTTTTTTTTTTTACGTTTTTTATTTTTAAAAATATAATTACGTATGTATATTTATGGGTTAAGACATTTTTTCCAATCTCCACTATATGTATTTATTTTTTTACTTTGCAACCTATAATATACTGTATGGTGAAGATATGCAAATTATGAATGTTCATGAAGTTCAAGTTGCATTTTAATTCAAAAAGTATTGTACGTTGCATAGTAAAAAGAAATACATATAGTACAGGTCGTAGCCAATGTTTTACCTTATTATCGTGGTAAATGTTTATGACGAGATACAATATTATTAATACTTTGAGTTATAAAATTTATAGATAAGTCATTTATTTTTGTCATTTTTATATATAGTCATATAATAAAAATTACATAAATATAATTTAAAAAATATTAAAAATTAATTGCACAATTTAACAACTGACAAGGTAATTCGACGATTGAACCGGTGACTTGGAGACCATCGCGAGCCAATCACTTGTACAGGTTTTAAAACATTGATCTCACACCTAAAAATATTCTATTTTGATCTCTTCATTTGCTAAACAGAAAAAGCGTAATTCACTATTATCTAATTTCCCCAAAAACAAAACGAGAAGAAAAAAAGTAATTGTGAAGATGACACATGCAAACTCCGATATATCACGTGTCAAGCATGTTATATAAAGAGGAGGGAGACCGTCCGTCTCAAAGAAAGGGGGAGGCAAGCTTTTAATTTGCAGAACAGCATTTCCACATTCTCCCCTTTTTTTTTGGTTCTCGGAAAATAA